TATATAGTATTTTGTTAACATATTTATGTATAGTATTCAGATATTTATGTTACAATTGTTTAACGTGTTAAAACAAATTCTGACTAAAGCTGGTGTTTTATTACCGATGTTACAATGCAAAGGTAATAAAATAATGAGACACATGAAAGTGTGTACATGAGATGTCGAGCGGAAATGATTCACGATTGTAAAAAAGTATTCTCTGATGATGAGTTTCTTGCAATACAACAAAAGAATTTTTAATACGCATGATATATATATATATATATGTATACGTATGTATATGATATAAATAAATATTTATGATATAAATATATACGTATATGTACATGCATATTACTCTGAAGTAATGAGATTTGTGCGTAATGTAAACGCGTGAGTTAAATCAGCGCGATGCAAACATTAATGCCATCGGTTGGCAACGTGTCGACGACAAAGCCGGTGTTAATATTTGATTTGCCGGTTGCTGGGCAAGCAATGCGCATGCCCGACGTAGCTTCGACCTCTTTACGTTCCACCCTCTTAAATCTCGCCACTCTTATTCATCCCTCCCTTTTCTCCCCTTGTGGAGAACAGTCCTCGTATTTGTCTATCTGTCACTCGCTCTTAATGGACAGGATTTTTACCGGTCGGTAAACTCTCGCGTAAGAGTCTTTCGTGTTTCATGGATAAAGGTTTATATGGCGTTTGTATTCGATCTGTGTTTCGCGCGGACGGGTTCAACGACTTGGCGGTTACACTTGCGGAAAGATGATATTTTATATTTCGGATAATTTTGGCTCTGTTGCTACCGTCTGCGGTGAAGGTCGATAAACCGCGATAATTTTGATGCAGTCGCTTGCTCGCTCGCTCGTTTGCGTTGAGAACGGCAAGAGAAATACATCGTAAGTTGTCGATCAGACTTTACGATAAGCTTGCTATTCTCGTTCGTCCTGCCTTTCGTGATAGCGCGAACTATTAGGGCCGACTTCCGAAGAGAGAAGTTAAATGCGTTGCTTCTCATCGAAAACTTTTTTCCACATTTATAAAACGCCAAGTATCGATTAACCTTTGTGTGAGCGACGTGGCGAATCCACCAATCGCAGTTTTTTTATCTAATGGCGATTTATTTATGTTCCATTCTTACGACAAGAAAGGAACTATAGATACTGTGATTCGCGCAACTTTGTTTTTACCTACTTGTTCAACAGTTTTTCATACAAAATGCATTGTGGCGCATCCGTGTACCACGTCGTCGGTCACTAACGTCATTGTACGAACCGTAATGTATATACTTACAATGCACTTTTAGTACATCACGATACTAAAGTAAGCATTTTGCGGTATGAAACTCTTGAAAGCTCGATTCTACATATGTATATATGTAATATATTTAGTAAGAAAAAAGTTTGGAGAGTTTATTTCGTTTTATATATATATATATATATATTTATTTATATACAATATATATTAATATTTTTATATTATATATATGTATATATATATGTTTTTTAATACTTATATATGTATATACATGTACATATATAATGCTACTTTGCAAAATGTTGAGTAATTTACGCTAAACATTGCAAAAGATCGTTTATGAGTGTCAATTTTTGTTTGAGAAAAAACTGACCATTTCTTGTGTTTTAATTCAAATATTTAAACAAATTTAAATATATATCGTAAGAGAGCGCGCGTAAAAATATGTCTTTTTTACTCTTTTCTTGATTGAGAGGGAATTGAACATTCTTGTTCGCCAAGAAAACTGTTTTAACGGTTATTCCGTCGCTTCTGAGAAACGTCGTTCGAAAGCAGATGGTCGCTTTGCGATTTCGTAACGCAGAGAGAGGAACTACCGAGTCCAAAAATAGACGACTTTGCGGGTGTGCGCGCGTCCTCGCTTTGTACGAGGAAACGAGAGGCTTGTCAGCTGATTGGAAGAGCGCCAATTTTTGGTGAATGAACCTACGGTCTCGTGCCTCGGATACACGCTCTCTTTGGTAATTTGCTCTCGTTACGGCCATGAAAAATATGAGACTTAAAGTTTATCGACTATCGCGAATATAATCAATTTTTTTTTTTTTGTTTTTTTAACATCTCGCAGAGCAGAGAAATGCGTATCAGATATTGGCCTATTTCTAAGATACAATTGTATTTTTTTATAACAAAAATCAATTAATAAATATGATAATGTTAAGTATGTAACAAACGCAGTTATATAACGTGCATATTATTTTTGCAAAAATGTCAGAATTCACGTATTTTGTGAACGAGTCTTCTTTCAAATCTTTTAACGGCGAGTTCTGACCGACTCGAAGGATTAACGCAAATGACTACTCCCAGAAACGTAGTAGCGATTACCGCTTTGATATGCTAATAAAGGACCGGTAACGCGATCTCGATGTCATATTGTCACTCGATAGAGACGTTAGAGACGCACGGGGCCGAAAAACAACCGTGCGTGTGACACGTGTGCCCAGTAACCAACACAACAGGGTTCTGGATCGCTGATTCCCCTGGGAAGATAATAAAATTTCACATGTGCGAGAATTGAAAATCATCTTCTTTGTGTACGCGCGCTGGGAGTCCGAGGTCGTTTAACGGAACGCACACCCGGTACGAGAGCGCTACTGATAGAATCTCACGAGTCAAACTCGACACTGAATCTTTCATACATCTCGAAATTGCAGATTGCCATTATAACAAAAAATCTATTTCTACACATAGGTGTACGTAATATTTTAAGTAGATACACAATACGACAATTTTAGAAAAATAATAATTTGTTTTAAAATGTAATTCAATTTAGTAAGTTAAATTAAATTAAAATACCGTAGTTTTTAATTTTTCAAAATAAAGGTAATTGAAGGTTTATAAAAAATGAAAAAAAAAATTAAATTTATTTGATTAGATATATGTGTTTAAAGTAGAAATTTGTATTAAAGAACCTGAGTTCACAGGTCACGGGAACGGTTAAAGAAAAAAATTCGTCGCGCGAAATTGTCGAAAGTCATTCTGTGTATACTTTAATCCCGGGTTTACGTTTCTTTTTATTTTTGATACACGTTATCGCGTATACTCCACAGCCATATCTCTTATTTATTGAACAGGGAGAATGCACCGACACAATTTTCTCTGTTATCGCGCTTCCGACTTCGTATATTCTCTCGCGTTGCTTCTCTCTCGTTTATTTATTTGTGAGCCCCGTTAGAGTTAGCTACCGAGAACTCTATTACGCGCACGAGCGTCTCTCCGCGCGCCGGCTGGCTGGCCGCAATACTTCTTGGCACGTAGAGCGGGTCAGGGCTGGTGGTACGATACCACTGCGATAACCTTGCTCGATAAGCGTGGCGGCTTACGTTTCCGTTAAGTCGTGAATCCTGCCGCGAATTGAGTTATCTGCGAGACAGCATCCTAACCGCGTATCTTCGTCTGAGAAAAAAGAAACCGATCTCACTTATCTGCCTTGTACAATCTACTGCCGTAACGCGCGTAAGATTACATTGCCATTACCAATTGGTCAATCATCGTGATCGATTGTTGATTGATACTGCAAAACAGATTGATGCAATTGAATTTACGGGACATTAGGATTATAATATAAACACGCAAATCAGGCATTATTGTTTTCTGTTTTCACGATTCTAATTTTCTTTATTGCAGTGGCAAGAGTAAGAAAAGTAACTTAGATGTTTGCGTTCTCTACCTTCTCAATGTAGATGATAATACTGTTTATTTAACTGTTTATTGATGGTATATAAAACTGGTACACACGAAAAAAAAAGATTGATGCTAGAATAGCAAGAAATTAGTATGGTGGCCCGCAAAGAACATTTGCTAAGCCTATTGAGATTTTTGTTTTTTCAAAAAAAAGGTTTTTTGTTGACGAGACGAAAAGTTTAGTAAACTCAACAATTTTTGTTGCCAGCTATATAATAGGCCAAAAT